GAGACTCCCAACCTAAACCCTAAACCTTAAACCCTAAACTCTAAACCTTAAACCCTCAACCCTAAACATTAAACCTTAAACCCTCAACCTGAAACCCTAAACCCAAAATCCTAAATCGATCTCTCCTCCGAGCTGTGGAGCTCGTCGACCATTCTCCGGTCCGGGCCTTTCGTTTTATGCCCGGGGCGGTTTGAAGGAAGGGTTTAGGGTTTAGGGTTTAGGGTTTAGGGTTTAGGGGGTTCTTTAGCGATTCGTCGAAGGGGTTTTTAGAATTCTGCACGGGTTCTATACAGGAATTTGAGTGCTCTGTCGGTGCCGTGAAATCTAAGGTTCCAGTTAGTCAATGCTCGAGTTTTTCTGTGCTGAGAAATGCAGGAAGGTTTCACGGAAGGGTTTAGAGGGCTTCCTGGTTCCCTCAACGGTTGCTCCATACGGTTGGGACGGTGTGGTTTAGGGCTAGGCCCCTACGTTCTACAATCGCCATATTTTCTTGATACTTACAGATGCTACGAGAATGACGAGGTTCTGTGCAAAGCCATGTTGCTTTCCCGACGTGAAAAAGCGACGTGAGTGAGGCGTTGCAGTCGGTTAAAAGGTTGGGGGGACTCTGACCTAAACCCCAAACCCGAAAGTGCGAATGTAGACCCTGATTAATAAGCCCCCTTCGTTGGTGGCTTTCGTACTAGGATCCCGATTCTCATCCTTATTCCGGGAGGGGTGTAGACTTATCAGACATCTGTGTGATTACATCCCTTAAAGTCCGTGCAGTCAGCAAACATGAGATGCAGGGGTGAAATTCTGAAAGTGGCCATCTGCCTCTCTGAGGAACGGACACTGCTGCCGCTATTGCGCGGCAGTCCTGATCATTTCGGGGGTGTACCCATAGGCCCTAAAGTAGTTCCATTTTGGGGGTTCATATATATATATATATATATATATATATAGAATCCTATAAGGAAACCCCAAACAGGAACTACTTCAGGGCCTATGGGTAGTTTCGTCATCCCTTCTTACCTCAAATCGTGGCTTGAACCCATGGTCCCCCTGGGTAGTCTCTGAATGATAAGGGATGCGAGGCAGACACATGTACGGGGCCTTAAGAATTAGAAAAGGGGTTCTACAAGTAAGGATCCCTTTGAAGGTACCTTAACAATAATGGTCTGAAATCCGGCCGTAACATAATCAAAATATGCTTTGGGGGTTTTTGTGGCATGTTTACAGCTCCAGGAAGCCATGGAGAAACTTCAGGATTAGGGGCTCAGAGTTTGGGTTTAGGGTTTGGGAGTTTAGGGATTTAAGGGTTTCGACTCACACACTCGCACCAGGCAGGCATGGCTTCACGACGTCCGAGCTTGCTAAGGATTTAGGGGTTTAGGGATCAGGGTCTCGGGGTATAAGGCCAAGATTACCCGCTACGCCCGGCAGCAAACCATCATGACATTGCGCGTTCTCGAGCTACTCAGTTCAATGGAGATTTGTCTAAGGCGGCAGGATACAAACCCAGGCACATTACAGGATCCAGACACACAGAAGACGGGGGTATCCTACCATTGTATGAGATGAGACAGGGCCTCGTTCGAGGCTTGACTCTTGTGGATGATTGAAACTGGTCCGTTTCTGTTTGGGAAAGGGAGCAAAGCCCAGCCGTGTCCTGGTGTCTGCGCGTCTGGTGCCCACCTCCCTGTGTTTGAGCCAGTCGGCAGTGGAGCACTCAGCTGGATTTGGATTTTGAGGGAGCAGGGATCGAAGATGATATTCTTGGCGAAAATTAGCTCAAAAACCCTGAACCCTGAATCCTGACTTCAAACTTCTAGTGAACCCTAAACCCCAGAATCAACCCTGCAGGGTTTCGGGTTGAGTGCGGAGGTGTCATCTCTGAGTCGGGAACGAGTCATGAAAAAATCTTTCTTGTTAGGTATTTTGGTGTTTGGGATTTATGAGCGGCTCAGGTTTAGGGTATAGGGTTTCGCGTTTAGGGTGGAAGGTTGTGGTGTAGATCTGAAGGTCAGGTTTTTCCATACGCAACACTTTATAAGGCCGTGCTGTTTGAAGGAACATAAATAGTCCCACTGAGCCCTAAGCCGAGGCTTTTTGCTAGCTGCGGGATTTCGGCAGCATGGCGCAGGGTATGGAAGCCCAGGTTCCTTCTGAATGCAACTGGGCAGCGTGAACCTACAAGAACTAATGTGGTTTTGGGTTTAGGGTGTTACAACAGCCTCCCTATGTGTTTTCTTGCATCTTTCTTGAGCTTCCTATTGCTGCACCTGTTCTCAGCTACCACCACTCTGTCTAAAACTGTAACAGAGGGTCCTGCATAGCTAACAATCCTTGCTATGATATACTGTAGCACACCCCAAAAAAAACTTCTTCTTTATGAGGAGCTGAAGCTGCGACAGGGCCGAATTCCCATGGCAATCCTTCCCAAACCACTGGGGAGCTTCAGTCAAAAGGGACCACCATGTAAGCCCTGCACTCCCCATGTGAGTCGTAGGATCCCTTCTAGGGCTTCGGGCCGCCGGGCTTCAGAGTTGAATCCCCAGATTCCCCTACACCCTAAACCCTAAAAGCCCTAAGCCCTAAGCCCTAAGCCCTAAACCCTAAACCATAAACCCTAAACCCTAAAAGCCCTAAACCATAAAAGCCCATAAAAGCCCTAAGCCCCCTCTTAGATCGGGTAGCAAGAGGTATCGAGACTGAGAGACCGCCCTTCCGACAGCCCCGCCGGCAAATCCCAAGTGAGGAGGTCAGGCCTGATCGTACTGTTGATGACAGAGTTTAGGGTTTAGGGTTTAGGGTTTAGGGTTTAGAGTTTAGGGTTTAGGGTTTAGGGTTTAGGGTTTAGAGTTTAGGGTTTAGGGTTTAGGGTTTAGGGTCAGAAATCCTGCATTACCTGAAGGACCCTAAATGGGAAGTCTGGCATATACCTTATGGTGGTTAATGCAGGATTGACATCATCAACCCTTTTAAACTATGGGAAGTCTGGCATATTCCTTATGATGGTTAATGCAGGATTGACATCATCAACCCTTTTAAACTATGGGATGTCTGGTATATTCCTTATGATGGTTAATGCAGGATTGATATCATCAACCCCAGCACGATTCCCACCAGATCCCTAAAATTCCCAACCATGGGCTAACAAGCTATACTATAGAAGTCTGACTACTTCGTACCAAAGCCTCATGAAACTTGACTACGTTGCAGTAACTACAGCGCCCGCCTAGGGTTCAGATGAGTATCAGATGAGTTTAACCTTATAGACCATGAACCCTAGAAACTCTAAAACCCTGGCGTGTGTGCGTGCGTGCGAACGGCCATAGCAAAAACGACACCCTAAACTTCTTCTCCTGAACCTGATAATATAGGGGACTTAAGACATGAGCCTTGAAGACTAAGGAACTGCATGTCGACCGGCACTACAACCCTTTTCTCCGAGCTAAATCGGGTGAAACTTCGACCCGTCGATCCGCACTCGCTTGCCGTCCCAGCGGATGCCATCGATCCTCCAGTCCGCAGGGTGACAGACGGGTTGGGGTTTCAGGGTTTAGGGTTAGGGGTGTTGGGGGTGTTACGGTTTTGGGTCCAGGGCACCTTCGCATCCTGGAAGCATACTGTAAAGTTTAGGGTTTGGCTGTTATAGGGGTGTTGGGTGTGTTCGGGTTTAGGGTTCCGCTACGGGAGGGAAAGCCGGGTTCGGGGTGGTTTAGTGGGCTCTTGCTCGGGTACGATCGGTGCCTTGACGCTTAGAATGGGGCCTAAGATTTTTGTGGGGTCTTATAGCGCTGTACAGTAAAACAAATGTTGACAAAACGGGGATACTATGGCCAAATATGACGACGCCTATAGCTTTTGTGGTGCCTTACATTCTCATCATCTGGAGGCAGAGGAGGAATACCATGACTGATTCTTCAGTTCAGTCCCCTGTATATGACCCTTCCCACACAACACGTCAAGTTCGACCTACCGCTTCTTCAGGGATTAAGAGCGCAGGCTTTAGGATTCTTTAACTGTTCTGTAAGGGTCTGTGGGATCATGACGAGGGGTTGCACTTCTATTTGGTGCCTCTTTGGAGCCGATAGGATTTCAGGCTTTGGGCTTTAAGGAATTTCGGGTTGGGTGTTCTCACCAGATGTTCGGGCAAGGTCTGATGCTACGGTCTTACCAGAGGAAGCTGGGATGGGTTGTCATGTGGGCCATAGAACACGTCGGTGCCAAAAATCGAAGAACACCAACTGCCGCAGCATTCAAACTCCTAGGAGCAAGTTGCCATACATTGCAGCACATACGAAATTCCGACGTCAGCAGAATGGTACACTGCAACAGACAGACGACTGAGTAAGCCGACATTTCGTTTCGAACTCCTATTCAGGTCCTACTCCCAACAAATTCTGGGGGCGCGGGCCACGGCACGCGGGTCGCCGGCGGATCCTGCAAGCTGTTTAGATTCTGTTGGGCATCCGTTGGTTGAAAACCCCGGAGTCTCCCGAGAGCCAAGAAGATCCAGCTCAAACAATGGTAAAGTTCAGAGTAGTTTACGGTTTAGGGTTTAGGGCATAGGGAGAACCTTCGCATCAAGCACTGCACGCAACTGCGCATACAGGCTCCTAAGCGCTCAACAAGGGGGTATGCTACCACAGTTTCGGGTGCTCTGAGGAGTTGATTTCGGGTAATAAACAAAATTCTGCATGTGGCAGGGCACCGTGCATGAAGGGTGTCCGGACATGACAGCACAGCCAACACCATGCAAAAGCGTCTGTCTATGCAGAAAACTGAACAAGTACGCACACCACCTCCATAATGCGCGTGTGGTGGGCACAGAACATAGGAAACACGGATGCAGAAAAGAAAGATGTAGACCGAGACAAGAGACTGATCAAGAGTGGCACGCAACAGCTCCAGGACAATCACTTAAAGCCTTTGGGCTGAAAATGCAGGGATTGCCACTGTCTGCTCCAAATTAGGTTCTCGTCCTGCAATAAGCATCGATTCGAACAGAAACTGTACCATCCAAACCGGACGCTGTAGCTTTCAGTCGGTCGAGCTTCTCGGGAGGCATCCTCCCCGAAGGCTTGAGGCGGCGATGCTCCCGCATTCCATGCGCATTGTATTGTAAAGCCATTTCGATACGATTCTTGTCAGGGTTGCTGCTTTTGTCATTTGTGGCTTGGAGCAACAAGTTACTGTCTTCTCTGCCACTGTGAGCACTGCCGAAGACTGTCTTATGCCCAGCAGAAACTTCGGCAAACGCAATCTCAGAACCGGGCCGGCGGCTGCTTTGCTTGAAGCTTTGCCTTAAGTCTGCAAGGCACGCGTGTGTGCGCAACGTGTGCAGGGAACATCAGCCAAGCTCTCAAGCATGAACCTCCGAATCTGAGGCTACTACAAAGCGTCCTGTAAACCAAAAGCCTACATCTGTAGTCATCAAACACTCGTCCAAGAAGATCGCAGAAGCAATCGCAATGAGCCGAGTCGGAAGAGGAACGATGAAAGAGCCATGTCATAGCAAAAGGTCAAAGCACTGGACGTCTTCCTGAACACAAACGTTTCAGCAGTAGCCGCTCACGTACGCGACGCAAGTTGTGACAATGCAGGTTCGAGGCTGTCAGAGCTTGTGCCCTAAAACTGTAATAACTCGGTTGTAACCTTGAGGCCCCACAAAAATCTCAATCCTGCAGGCCTGCAAGCAAAACGCCTGGTAGTTAGCCACTCGTCCACCACCTGAGACCCTAAACCCTGAAACCCAAAAACTTACCCGACAGTTCCGCACGAGCCGACACCGGCAACTTCCAACACGCAGCCCGCACCAAAGACAAACTGTCTAGGAACTGGGTCAAGGACTGCCTTTTGCAGCAAATGGCGGATGGTCTCGGCGTCCACCATCGCCTGCGCAAGGAGAGTTGTCACGTGCAGGCTTTATCCGCCGACCCCTTGGGCGGCGCCCAGTGATATCCCGCGAGGTTTTCCGGCTGCGCGCTGGTCTCCCACCCTCAACACCACTGCTGCTGTCTGCGCCCTGGCCACCCCACCCCCATCGCCCC